TGAGTCGGTGAAACTCCGACGAAACAGTTTGTCACAGCCCCTCGTTTGTTGTCCTCTTCTCTCTCTCTGCCTACGGTTTTACCGGGCAGTTCTGTTTGTGACGATATATATATATATATATATGAGTCGGTGAAACTCCGACCAAACAGTTTGTCACAGCCCCTCGTTTGTTGCCCTCTTCTCTCTCTCTGCCTACGGTTTACCGGGCAGTTCTATTTGTGACGATATATATTGGGCCTACCGGGCAAGTGGTCCCTGGCCACTCTGGTAGCCTAGGGATAAAGTGCAGTGATACAATGACTCCTTATGGAGTGTGAAGCAGAAAAACTAAAAGAGTGGTCTGCCAAAAGAAAAGAGGTGGTGGGGCTTCCATTCCAAGCTGATGTCGGTTCTCCTTTTCATTTGTCAGAGCAGAAGCTGGTGTCAGACTCTGTACATCGGCGTTACCTGCTCGCTGTGATGTGCCGCTTGTGGCATATAAGCACCTGTTTGAATCGTCCGCAGACTCCCTGCAAGCCGGTCGCACCAGGAGTTGTATGGAAAAGTTGGCAGTCAGAGTTACCGTGGCTGTTTACAGAGGCTTTGATTCCGAGCTTATGTCACTTCTCCTTTCCGTCGGTCAGCGCCGAGCAGGTGTCAGACTCTATACATCGGCGCCACACAGTGCTATCCGCTGCTTGTGGCATATACAAACCTGTTTGAATATCGTCCGTACGTGGGCTCCCGCCTTGTGTAAAGGATGTCGAAAGTTGAAAAATCTGGCAAAGAATTCAGAAGACTGTAATAGCTGACTGTCAACTGTGTTCTTATAGCAGATGAGTAGTGTGTGGGGCTTTGTGGGCACTACCCGCTCAAGCACCCAAACGTGGGCCTTTTTTTTCTGTTTTTTTTTTTTGTTTTGTTTTTTCCTCCTGCACCTGAACAAAGCTTTTTTTTATTTTAAAGTGTCCTGCTTCTTTGAAGTTCTTTCCCTTCTTACTGCCAGTCATCCCTCCTTTCTCTTATTTTATTTCATTTCATTTCATTTTATTTTATTTTATTATATTTTATTGTTATTATTATTTTTTGTTTTTTAAACACAGGTGCCGGGGCCATATTGTCCTGCGCTCCTTTTCCGTGGTCAACTATTTTCTTTCCCAAAGTATGCTCTTTTAGTTGATAGGCATGTGACAATGTATGATGATCAGACTCTTTCCTTCACTTACGGCCGAGAGACGCCTGAACGGCATTGAATGGTCCATCTGGGAGGATTGACTGCCAGGTAAAGCCTTTCTGTCTTGAAATTGTTTCATCTGTCTATGGCAGGGGCTGTCAGATCAACTTGGAAGTTAGTCTTGGTGTGGAAAAGGCATAAGAAAGGATGTTTAGGGGCTTCCTCTGTTTTATCTGCTTGTCAGCTTTCAGTGTTCAGTCTCCAACCACAGTCAGAGTATCAAACAGAAAACCCCAAGAAGCATCAAACGTTTCTGACAAAATCCATGGTGCGAAGTTGATATAACAAGCACTGGCTTCCAGTGCAACCTCACAGAAAGCTATGAAACACAGACCTGAAGAAATTCAAACACCAGTGGTTGTTACCTAGGCAGCCCCTCGTGAACCAGGAAAGCGACCAAACACGCCTGCCGCTAAACTACCGCGTAGAGGTAAGACTGTATCTCTTACTGTGTTCTGACGCCAAGCTGTGGCCAATGCCTGTTGCCGCTCTTAAACCTGCTGAATCTGTGCTGATGCTTTGGGCAGAGTTGCACCAGTTAATTAACCATGCTTTCCCCCTTTTGCTCTGGCAAAGTTTCTTAAACCTGCTGATGCTTTGGGCAGAGTTGCACCTGTTACTTAACCACGTGAAAGGGCCATCGGTCTTCATTTAATAGCCTACATCTATGCTGTTGTATGTGTGCTTGTGTTTTGTGAACAGTGGTTTGGTGAGGCCGAGAAATACGTCAAGGCAGTGTTCACTCTGGCCAGCAAAATAGCTCCTTGTGTTATCTTCATTGATGAGGTATGTAGTGAAACTTCTCCCCTGTAAAAAACCTCGTGAATTAACTTGGATAACTGGAGTTGTTTTAACAGTTTTGACTGTATCTTTTGGAGTTGTTGATATTCTTTACCTTGGGATCAAATTGGTTATTGGCCAGTAAAAATTGTGACTGGTGTACCGGAAGCAATTCCTATAGTAGGATTGTCATTAGTAGAATTGCTTTGTGGAAGTGCGAGTGTTGGACAATCAACTGGGACGGAGCACTGTAATCACACACTCAGAATGGACCCGAGATCTTGGCAAGCCTGTTGTGCAGACTGTCTTCATGCTAGGTTTCTTAAACCACCAGTACATCTGAGCCTCTTTCTGCAGAGGCGGATTCCCCCTGCGAGCCGGCCTTGCTGAAATGCCAGTGGGGCGCTTTTTCTTCTCTTTTCGCTGGTGCTGCCAGGCATTTTAGTCTGGTATCCCTGAGCCTACAGACTGTTCGGAATGAGCTGATTTTGATTCTCAAGTTTGCGTAGGCCATGTTGTCGTGGTTTAATCAGAGTAACTGATCCTTCCATTGCTTGCTATGACTGTGCTGACCTTGCTTCTGACATTGCATGCTGCACATGATCTTATCGCTTTCCAGTTTTTTTCTGACAAAGAGTCGTGGTTGGGTCCAGGTAGACAGCATGCTGGGAAGAAGAGGGAAGGATAATGAGCACGCGGCAATGCGTAAGATAAAGAACGAGTTTATGTCCAGCTGGGATGGGCTTCGTACGCGAGAGAATGAGAGAATCCTTGTGCTGGCAGCAACCAACAGGCCGTTCGATCTCGACGAAGCTGTGATCCGAAGATTTCCGCGAAGGTAATGCCCCTGAGATGGACTCTGACTCTTGTGTCAGATATGGCTGCATTGTCATGTCTGCACGACTCACAATTTGTCTTTGTTGCCTTCCCGCTCAATGTGCTTTGCTCCACTACAGTGTATTCCAGATGCATTTGGACTGGTCCAACACTGTGAAAGAATCGGGCCACAAGTACGTACCGATACATTCAGAATGTTCTGTAGTGAAGCGAAGGTCTAATGATGACTTTTTTATCAAAAAGTTTTGCACGTAATGCTGGCCACGCCTTTCTCTATTCTCCTTGCTATGAGTGTCTCTGTCAGAATCTTCCTCTCTCAGTTCCCTCCAAGTGAACCCAAAAATGCCTCTCCAGGCACGCAGCAAGAGAGGCTGGACTCTTCACGTATTATATCTGAGGATCCTACACAGACATGTGTTGGTTTCCTGCAGATTATCCTTTTCTGTCTTTGTAACCGCCAAACCTCATGTCGACGGTCCAGTGGTCTAAAAGTTTCTTTTTTTTTTTCAAAAGAATTTGAAAAATTTCTCGATTTATGCGTGTCAACCTTACTTGCGCAGGGGCCATGCTAATCTTCTCTGTATCGTTCCAATTTTAACGGATGTCCCGAAGGACAGTGGTCCAAGAGTTTCTAGGAAGGGCATGAAAAGAAAAAGGAAAAACATGAAAACATCGTTCTCAGCCTGTCAGGGGTTGTCTGAGCTCAACTGCAACATCCACGGATTCAAAAACTATGGTGGTGTCAGACCCCGGGCGAATCTTTCGACTTCTCTGAGAGGGTACTCACACTAGGGCTTTCCTACACATAATCTGACTGCAATTACGGCCAAGTATGGATGTTTGTGACTGCAATTATGTCCATGGCAGAGCCAACAAAATCCTAGTATGTGATTATGCCCAGAGTGATCCCAAAACTGTGGCCGGGAGAGGTCCCGTAAGTATGTCCACTTTTCGCTCACATAATAATACTGTCATAATGAGCATTAAATTATTGATTACCGTCATCTCACAATGAGGTTTACTGAAACGTTTTTCTCCTGCATTTCATTAATTAATGGCATACTTGCGGCGCATTTGTGCGCTGTGCCATGCGCACATGGCTGGTGCGCGTGCACCGCCCGCATGGTGCATAGGTGCGCTATATGCGCATGTGCGCGCTACTCATGCGCCATGCGCTGATGCGCACGCACCTGTGGGCCATGCACTAGGGTGGTGCGCCAGATGCGCTGCCTTTTTTTTTTTTTTTTTTTTTTTTTTTTTTCGGTGCTTCCACCACCCGTTTGAACT